CAGTGTGAAAGGCTCCATCTCAGAGATGGAAGAGAGAAACTGAATTCGAGTCCCCAACAACCCTCCACATCTAGCTTCACACCTCAGTCAATCCCCTTTGAACACATGATGTAGGAATAGAAGTGGGGGGCAGAATCTGCGGTCAACCTGGCAGTTTGGGGGAGGTTTGAAGACACTGTTGACTCAGGCCTCATTCAAGCAGGGCTTCATAGTGTCCCAGAAAGCTTGGGAATCCACTTAGAAATAATTATGGATTATATTAAAGTGTCACAGGAACAGCCATTTTTCTCTAAAAAGGCATTTCCTCCTGAGGGCTTGTTACCAAGAATCCTGGAGCTCCAGGCAACTTTGCTGTACCGTCAGCAGGTGGCTGCTTACTTGTGGATTCCTTTAAGTTCTTGTTCAATAGTCTTATCACCCAGACTGTATTTTGCAAACAATACAATAAACCACTAATTAAGTCACCTACCTTTCCCCTGCCTTTCCCTTAGCTGAATGCCCAGGACCTCTTCTTTACAATGCTTGTAATTCATCTATATTCATTGACTTTGTAAAATTAAACTTCTGATTTTGAGATAACTATAGCTTCCACATGGAAGAAATAATACATAGAGATCCCATGGGCTCTACCTCAGTTTCCCTGGATGGCAGCTTCCTGCAAAACTATAGAACAATATCACAGCCAAGATACTGACATTGGTACAGTCAAGATACAGAATATTCCACTGCCACAAGAAAGCCTTGTGTTGCTTTTGTGTAGCCACACTCACTTCCTTTCTGCCCTCACGCCCTCTGTAAGCCCGTGGCAACCATTAATTTGTTATCTCTTGGTATAATTTTGTCCTTTCAAGGATCTTGTGTGAATGGAATCATGTAGTACCTTATCTTTGGGGATTGTTTTTTTCAGTCCCGCTCACTGCATGTATCAATAGTTTGTACCCTTATATTGCTGAGTATTTTCTGTAGTGTGGATGTACTGTGGTGTACCTAACCATTTATCTGTTGAAGGACATCTGGGTTCTTTCCAGTTTTTAGCCATTAGGAATAATGCTCTGTAAATATTCGTGTACAGGTTTTTGTGTGAGCGTAAGTTTTCATTTTAATGGGATAAATGCCCAGGATTGTAATTGCTGGGTCATATGGCAGTTGCATTTTTGGTTGTTTAACTGCAGAATTCTTTCCTGGAGTGACTGTACCATTTGATACTGACACTGACAGTATATGAGTGCTCAAGTTTATCTGCATTCTCACCAGCCTTTGGTGTTGTCACTCTTTTCTAGTTCAGCCATTCTCATAGGTGAGTATTGATAGCTTATCATTATATTAATTTGCATTTCCCAGATGGCACATCTTTTCATGGGCTTGTCTGCCACCTGTATATGCTCTTGGAGGAAATGTCCCTTCATGCCTTTTCCTCATTTTCTGATTGGATTGTTTGTTTTTTTTATTGTTGAGTTTTGAGATTATACATTATAAATTATATATTCTAGATACTATTTCCTTGTGGGGTATGTGGTTTGCAAAAAATCTTCTCTAGGTCATAGTGTGTCTTTTCATTCTCCTAAAAGAACATTCTGCTCTTGGTGGGTGGAGTGTTTTATAAATATCGACTAAATTCTGTTGGTTGATGATGTTGTTGGGTTATGCTATATCCTTGCTAATTTTCTGTCTGGTTGTTCTATCAGAGATTGTGAGAGAAGTGTGTGGACTGGACTGTTTCCCCTTTCAGTTCTACCAGTTTTTGCTATGTCCTTAAGAATTGACCCTTTTATCATTATGTAAGACACTTTTCTGTCTCTGTTGTTCAGATTGGGTAATTTCTATTGTTTCCTCTTCAAGTTTCACTGATTGTTTCCTCTTTCCCCTCCATTTTGCTGTTGAACGTATCTACTGAAATGTTTACATTGGTTATTGCATTTTTGGTTCTAAAATTGATATTTGGTTCATCTTTATATCTTCTCTTTCTTTGCTGAGACTTTCTACTCTTTTGCTATTTCTGACACTTTCTATTTTTTTTTTTTCATTTGTTTCCAGCATATTTGTAATTGCCTGTCCAAGCATTTTTAGGATGGCTGTTTAAAAATCTTCATCAGATATTTCTGACATCTCTGTCATCTTGATGTTGGCACCTATTGGTTATTTTTCAGTCATTTGATATTTACCTATTTCTTGGCATAACAAGCGATTTTTGGTAGAAATGGGCATTTTGGAAATTTTATATTTGGAACTCTGGATCTTATTTAAGCCTTTTGTTTTAGGTGGCTTCCTTTGACCTGAATATGGCAGAAGAAGGGGGAGGTATCCCCTCATTTCTACCAGGTTGGGGTAGAAGTTTAGGTTTTTAACCCAGCCTCTATTGACACCTAGCGGTGCTGCTTGTTATCTCTGGGTCGGGGTGACAATTCTGTTGCCCATTGAACTTACACTGATACCTCCCTGTCTTGTGGGCAGAGGTGGCTTCATTACTGCTGGTGGACATGGAAATCCAGGCTCCCTACTGGGCCTTTTCCAGCACTAGCCCCATAGGGAGGAGGAGAAAAAGGAGGCGGTTGAGTGCTTCATTACAGCTTTGAGATGGGGGAAATCTAGCTTCCTAGTAGCCTTTGCTGGCCTGGGTAGTTATGGGGCCACCCATTTTACTGTGCTGCTTGCCTACGGTAGAGTGGTTATTATCTAACAATTTTCTGTCTCGGGAGGCTGCCCCTTTCCCATTCTTGTCACTATAGAGAGTGAGCTTTTGTTGGAACGTTTTTTTGTCTGCATCCATTGGCCTTTCCAGGTTCTTGGCTTCTTTAGCTTTAAGTCTGGGAATACATGAGGCACAAAGAAAACCCAGAGAACACATCTCTGTTATGCCTAGGCAGTTTTTTGCTTTTTTCTCTTTCAGAGTCTTAAATTTTTGTTAAATGTAATGTCCAAGATGTTTAGCTGTACTTAGAGGAGGAGTAGAAAAAGTGTGTCTACTTTATCTTTCTGGAAGTGGAAGTCCCTTACAATTTATTTTTATTTGCTTTATTCTTATAGGTCTCTCTCTTTTCCTGCCTTGCGGTTTCAGGGCTCAAGCTTCCTTAACCACACTTGTATAAATTCCTTTCCATGGGAAGAGAAGTTAAAATCCCAAGCCTAGAAGGGCTATGTGCATCGGGGGGAGGGGTGGAAACAGTTCCCGTACCCAAAGATGTACACTGGGCACTCTATAGATTTCTGGCTTTCTTTCACTTGCCTTTTAAGGCCTGGAGCCAACCATAGAGGAGACAAGGATATTCAGATTATTTTATATTCACTAAGGGCTCTTTATCCTCTAGGGGAAAAAACAAGTTCTCATGACACAAGAGGAAGTTTCACCTAGAGATTTATAAGAACCTGTAAGTGGCACAGAGGAGCAGCTGGGGGTAGGGGGTGAGGGTCCCTTCCAGCTTGGCCTGGCCTCTGAAAGCTGGCTACTGAGTGTGAAACCCATCTGTGATACTTTCTTGGAGCTGAGCTTCTCTGGACTTCATCCTTCACTGAGTCTGCTTCTGCAAAAGCCTATTATTTAGGGAAATGTAACCTTGATGTGAAACAGCATGTGTTTCTAATCCAGCTAGACCTAGTCTGGGGCTTGGTTCCATCTTTTGCTAGCTGTATGACCTTGAAGTTCAGTCATCCACTTAAAAACCATCCTGTAGTGCCTACTCTGGGCCAGCCACCATGCTGGGTTTTGGGACAGAGTAGTGGTACTTTTCACTGCTCCCTTTCCTTTCCTTTGTGACCATAAGCATGTCATCAGCTGGTTTTATGTAAAAAATATGTAAAAAAATCAGACTACTTTACCCCATCACCTCATCTCTTTCCCAGGCTGTTATAACAAGTCCCCTGAGTCTGTTCTTTGCTCTAATCCTCTGCCTCAATTCATTATCTACATAGTAGCCAGGGTGATCTTTTAAAAACACGCACCAGATTAATGTTCTTTTGTTAAACCTCTCCAGTTCCACTCAGACATACTGGGAATGAAGTCCAGTCCCTCCTCATGGCCCACTAGGTCCTGTGTGGTCTGGTTTCCGCTCCCCCTCTGAGCTCATCTGGCATCCCTTTCCCATCATCCAGTCGGCTTTGGTCATGCCAGACTTCCCTTTTTGCCTGAAAACATCAAGCTTGTCCCCCCACTGGGGTTATTTGCTAGTTATTATCTCTGCCTCAGATAGTTTTTCATACAAGTTTGAATAGATGGTTTCTGGTTATCATTAATAGTTTCAGTTCAAATGCTGTTCCTCCCCTGCTCTTTATGTTATATTCTATCCAGTCACCATGTCCCTACCCCTTCCTCTTAGTTAGCTCTTATCACAATTTGAAGTTATCTTGATTTGTTTACTAGTCCCAGCTCCACGAGAGCAGACATCACACTGTTTCCTTCATTGCTGTACATCTAGCATCTAGGACAGTTCCTGGCACAGAACGGTGAATATTTGTTGAATAAAGTTGCTTCATCCTCTTCAGCCTCAGTTTCTGACTTGTTGCATTGGAATAATAATTAGCCAACAATACAGGGTTGTGTTTAGAATTAAGTGAGATAATAAATGTATGTGAGGTACTTAGTACAATGCTTGGCTCACAGGAAGCCAAATAATAGATTTTCATTGTTTCCTCATGATTATATTATAATGTTCACTTCCATTCTCTCATACTCCTCTAGTACCCCCCCCCTTTTTTTAAGAGAGGAAGTGTGAGTAGGGGAGGGGCAGAGGAAGAGGAAGAGAGAGAATCTTAAGCAGGCTCCATGCCCAGTGCAGAGCCAGACATGGGACTTGGTTTCACGAACTGCAAAATCATGACCTGAGCCGAAATCAAGAGTTGGAGACTCAACTTACTGAGCCACCCAGGCACCCTCTCTAGTACCTGTTTTTGCTCCTAACGATCCATCTGGAGTGTCATGAGCATTTAATAGTGACAGATGCTGATTGGTCAGATGCTTGCAATGAAATCCTAACTTAGTTCTCTCTTGATCATGTTTTTCTGTACAGGTTCTACAGCTGGGCTCAGACATTCTTCCCCAGTACAAGCAAGAGGCACCAAAGACTCCCCCTCACATCATCTTACATTACTGTGTTTTTAAGACCACGTGGGATTGGATCATCTTGATCTTAACCTTCTACACAGCTATCCTGGTCCCTTACAATGTCTCCTTTAAAACCAGGCAGAACAACGTGGCCTGGCTGGTTGTGGATAGCATCGTGGATGTGATCTTTTTGGTGGACATTGTGCTGAATTTTCATACTACTTTTGTTGGACCAGCTGGGGAGGTGATTTCTGACCCCAAACTCATCCGCATGAACTACCTGAAGACGTGGTTTGTGATTGACCTTCTGTCCTGTTTGCCATATGATGTCATCAACGCTTTTGAGAACGTGGATGAGGTTAGTGCCTTTATGGGTGATCCAGGGAAGATTGGTTTTGCTGATCAGATTCCACCACCCCTGGAGGGGAGAGAGAGTCAGGTACATGCCTCAAATCTCAGACCTTGTTGTCATGTCTTGAAAGCTGAGTAAATGTGGGTGGTCAACAGAAGAGTAATTACATGGGTGGGAACTAGCATGGCTAATGTCTGGAACAGAGGGAGCATGCTTGATAGATATCCTCGCCTGCTGTTTTTGTCCTTTGGAGGTTTGGAGGCCCTGCATGTCCATGAGTGGATGTGGAAGAGACCAGAAGCTTCCTTCTTATTTTACGTGGAGTGCAAGCCACTGGCTCAGGGGTGGTGGGGCTGCAGAAGCAGGCATGCATTGCCACTGCATTGGTGAATCTTTCACTTGGTATGCAATTGCTGAATGCCTACTTACTGATTATTCTAATTATGGGGATTTTTGTATCATCTGCTGCTGACCTTTGGCTGTTGCATAACTAATTAACTCCTGGCAACAGGGATGCTATTTAACCCCCAGGTTTGCTTGCTTTTTTTTTTTTTTTTTTTTTTTTTTGTAAATGTTGGAAAAGAATGACTTGTTACTTGGCAACGACCACTGGAATTCAGCGGTCCATACTCTCCCTTGCATACATTTGCCGAGGGAGTCAGGCTCCGGTCAAGTTCGCCCTGTGACTAAGAGGAGTAGTGCTATTGCTGGATTATGCTGCTTTGGATTGTTAGTCCTGCAGGCAATGGAGGGGATGAAGAGAAAAATGCTCTTTAAGTGTATTGGAATTAGGACATGCTCAAACAGTCAGTGAATGGGTGCCTGGGACGAGTTGCACAAGGAAGTGGCCACTGGCCTGGTTCAGGTGATTTTCTCCTTTGAAAAAGCAAGGATATCATGTCATCGCAAAGGAAAATGCAGATTCTTATCCAGCTTAAGTGTTACATGGGAGTTGTTCTTTCTTTTTCCTGCTGCCTACTTGATCCCCCAAATGCGTTAAAGATCAAGTAGTTCGTCTGGTAAATCTTCAGCGTCATGTAGCAGTGGGCCCTCACTGCCTCAGATTACAGAGGGTCCTAGAAATCTCAGTCTAGCTAGGGTGTTACTTGGGTGGGTAATTCAGGAAGCCATCTGGAGACTGAGTTGAGGCAAGATTCACTTTCTGGGCTAAAGAGCTAATGGGACTAGTCTTGAGATAATTGGAAGGAACAGCCAGCTCCCTGCCAAGACCACAGGGCCTGGCCAGTGACTCTGTGACTTGCTGGTGGCATAATGATACCTCTCAGCCTTTAGATCAGTGTCAGTAATGGGTAAGGACTCCAGCCCCTTTCTCTTTGAGAACCCAGCTACCTACCACTTCTCTCTCCAGGAACTGATGTTGAGATGCTCTAAACCCAGAACAACCCCTGCTTTTATCTGTGTGGTGTGTTTTAATGTACTTTGAAATCCCAATGACTAATGCTCTGGGTGGCTTGTGTGGATTTTGTAGCTGTATTGGATGAGTGAGACTGATCATTTACAAGAATGAAATTGTCCCTAAAGTGAATGTTGGGATTCTTCAGTGTGAATTTGAGTACACGTTGGGAATGATATTTTTCTCTGTGAGCACATTTCTAGATTTTATGTTAGTGAGGAAAGTATTATCATTTTGGCTCAGATAACTGAATGATTTCAGCCTAAAAGAGCTTCTCCTACACATATGGGAAATGAAATTTAACTTAAAAAAAGAACCTCTCGAGTTTTAAAAATAAACCATTTGCTATTTAGAGCAATAGCATTGAAAAATTGCAGATAAATAGAACAGTTCTTTGGCTTCTGCAGGTTCTTGTTAAACATTGACAGAGCCATAAACACATTTGTAAATGTGTCAAGACTACCTCGTCGGTTAGCAAAGCAGGGCTTCTCCTCAAGCTCTGTATGTCAGGTTGGAAGTCCTTTGCCATCAATCGTGAGTACCCCTGACATGGTTTCTGATTTCCACAGTCACTAAGTAGATTGGCTGCTAAGAAAAACACCAGTTACCCGTAGCTTTCTAGTTGGAAAGGGTTTAGCATCAAAGCTCTCACTACCATCTCTTGGTCATAAATAATAATATGAGTATTAAGAGGCTATAGCTATGATTTGCTTCCATAAAGACTTGATTTTGTATTTAGTGATTTCTTTTCAAGCTTTGGCTGATACCCGAAATAATGCCTTTTCATAACATCCGTTGTGGTCTGGGGGAAGTCAGCACTAGGAAACTGAAGATTTGGCTCCTGGGCCTCTTGGTATCACCTGTTAAGACAGCTGGGACTTTCCAGAGGCACCTGGGTGGCTTGGTGGTTAAGCATCTGACTTCTGATTTCGGTTCAGTCCATGATCTCGAGGTTTGTGAGTTCAAGCTCCGCTTTGGGCTCCACACACACGGAGCCTGCTTGGGATTCTCTCCCTGTCTCTCCCTGCCCCTCCCTGCTCTCTTTCTCTCTCTCTCTCAAAAAAAAAAAAAAGAAAGAAAAAAAAAAAGAAAAAAAGCTGGATTTTGTGCAAGACATTTAGCTTCTCTGGATCACAGTTTTACTATCTATTCCTAGCTATATTTCCTATCTATGGCTACCTTTCCTGCCTGAAGGCATGGCCTCTGTGCAGTGGAATATTTGAGTTCCCTACTAGCTGCAAAGTGAGTTTGAGGACTTGTAAAATCTCACCTGTGTTCATTTTACCTCTAGGAGCTGATGATAAAAAAACAAGAAGCCTAGCACTTTGACCTCCTACTTGCAGTGGGGGTGGGAGGAAGGTGGGATGGGAGGAGGACTCAGAGCCCAGGAGGACCACAAAGGTCATCCAGGTCAACCCTTTTAACTCACAAATAAGGGAACAGACTTGGAGAATATGACTCACTCAAGAGGATCCAGCAAATCATATGGTTACAGCAATATTGAGTCTCCTTCTGACTCCTCTATATTCTTATATATTTTTTTACATGTTTATTTATTTTAGAGACAGAGAGACAGAGCGCAAGTGGGGGAGGGGCAGAGAGACACAGAGACAGAGACTGAAACAGGCTGCAGGCTCTGAGCTGTTAGCACAGAGCCTGATAAAGGGCTCAAACCCACGAACTGTGAGATCATGACCTGAGCTGAAGTCGGACACTTAACCGACTGAGCCACCCAGGTGCCCCAACTCTTTTCTATTCTTAATAGTAAAAGAATGGATAAAATAGGAACAAAACGTTGATGGACATAGTTGAGTCCAAACTGACCAAGAAGCTTCCAAAGTCTGTGGCTCACCCCTTGGCCTGGTTGTGGTGGTGGGGAAGTTGGGCACTGCATATGAGGAGTGGTACATCTGTATTCCCCGCAAAGCAACTGTGTTGGTGATGAGATGGGCAGTTGAGGCACTCTCTGAGGGACAGACCCAGCATGGTTTCCCAGGCATAGGCCTTTTGTTGAAAGACGCCATTAATTTAGTGGGAATGGAAGTTTGTGGGGCGGCGGTGGGGGGGGGG